AAAAAGATGGTAATCTGATGGTGCCATATCTGGAGAATATGGTGGGTGGGGGAGAACTTCCCAACTCCATTATCTTCCGTTGCCTCAAACGTGCCACATGTGAACATGCATTGTCGTGTAGAGAAGAACACCTTTCCAATTGATGAGTGAAGGGCTTGATTTAAACGTTCCAGTTGCTGACTCTAGATCTCTGCATTGACAGTTTACTGTGGCCTGAAGAGTTCAAAATGAATTACTCCTTTGATGTCCCACCAAATGCAAAGCATGACTTTCTATGGATGGAGTCCAGATTTTGGGGTTTAAAGTGGTTTTTGTCTAGGACTGAACCATTGTTTTTGGCATTTAATATTCACATAGAGAATCCATTTTTTCATCACTGGTGACAATTCTGTCCAAAAATGGCTCACATGGCAGAAGAGATAAAGCAACGTTCACACATTGGAAATGATGATCATTGGAGTGTTTGTTTGTTTATGAAGTTTTCCCATATTCCTTAGATCTTTACATATTGTTTCATGAGAGATATGCAATTTCAGAGCCATTTCACAAGTGTTTTGCCTTGGGTTAGACGCAACAAGTGTCTTCAGAGCATCAGTATCAATTACAACACGTCAGCCCCTGCCATCACAGTTTTTAAGGCAAAATCACCTGAACGAAATTTGCTGAACCATCGTTGACACTTACAAACATTCAAAACATTTCCATAAACTTCTTTGATATTCTTTGTGACTACAGAGGCATTGTTTCCTTTCTTGTATTCAAACAGCATTATATACCAGGGATTAGAGTATACTAAACTCTACACATTATATAAGCTACACTAACGTGACATTTAGGCAGTTCATTTAATTATTATATGTGATGTGTGTATGTTTTTGGGGGTGGCTAATGAAAGTGTTCCAAAATACGACATTAATTTCTTGACAACCTAATAATTACCAGAAACTGCTTGAGTGGATGTCATGAAATTCTCACTGTTCTTATTTGCTGTCTAGCAAAACAATGCCCAAGTGAATGGATTTGTAGAAATGAGGTATGTTAGGTGATCATTTGTAGGTAGTGCTGTGGCTGATGATTTCCCAAAACATTTAAAAAGTTGTGCCAGCAAATGACCTATGTGTTTGTCACACCCTTTTTTTTACTTATTTTACTTATATAGTGTGTTAAAAATTAGTGATGGTTAAATAATTTGAGATCAATTACTTTTATAATTAATTGTTAAAAAGTACTTTTTGTTTTCATTACTTTAGCATGTCTTGGATTTGCTACAACCATCATCCCTAGAACATATACCCACTATATATCTACAGCACTGTTTGCCCTCTTTGGTTTGAAGATGTTAAAAGAAGGTAGGTGTATATATATATACTGTATTTGTATTATATCTTCTTATGCTATGAAAATGACATTAAGTGTCAAAACTTTTATTATTAAAAAAAACTGAGAAGTTGCAATACATTCAGTTTCAGGATGTTACCCTGTGACTATTTATTCTTCCAAACAAACAACAAGTAACAAAAAACATTTTATAAATGTAAAAAACAGGGATGGCAGTGTCAAAAGTAATGCAAACAAGAATATAGGAATGATACAGCTATACATATAGATCATATCTACATGACTTTAATATCAATATTAAAATTTAATGTTACACTGTAAAATGCACGAATACAAAACGGTTATGAGGTCGATCAATTTGACCAATCTCTTAGCAAGAATCTTTAGTAGTATGTAATAATAAAGACATGTTTTGACTCAACTTGGATTTCCTTGTACTTAAGTTCTAGTCTCCTAGCTACACTACATTGATACCTACCCTGACATGATCATGATATTATGATAAACAAACTGCATACTGAAAGTCAGGAATATATAACTTCCAACTGCAGTAATATTGAAAGTCATGTAGGAATGATATACGTACAGCTGTATCACCCCTATATTTTTGTTTGCATTCTTTTTGGCACTGCCATCCCTACATCATTTTACATTTACAAAATGTTTTATTACTTGTTTTGTGACATTTTTTTTTTTCCCCTCAACTGAAAGTTAGTGTATTTTATGAATGTATGTAATAAAATTTAATGTGTGAATTTTTTTGCCACTCCATACATAATATAAGCATCAGCTCCCTAAAGACATTGATTGTATAGTGTACAAAGCATTAAGTATTCTACATGTTACAGTCATCTAATGTTCATCTATTATTGCTGATAATTCCTGTTTCTCCTTGTACTTATGCTTTTTAAAGGAACACCAGATTTCTGGGAAAATGCTAACTTCTAGTGGTAATTATAACATCATTTCACTAGAATTATGATTTTTTTTTTAAATTACAACTAGTTGTTATGACTAAGTGATGACATCGCACACTGGCCAGAAAGACACAGAGTGGATTTAGGTGTAAATTTATGTTAGTGATAAAGTAGTTGTAGAGTTGTCTCGATTGAAACAAGAAAGATGAACAATTTGGTGGGTTGGTCACTTTCTGGTTTGGTATCTTACTGATGGTTTCTTGTCTTGTTGGAAAGAGTGGCAATCATCTTTTAAAGTAAAACTCTGTCAGTGTTGACTTTTTTAACGTGCATATTTGTATTATGCCTATTGAGTAACTTGGCCATCCCTACATAGAGAGTTTACCAACACTGTGATACAATTTACTACCAAACTTGAATTGGCTGGTTAAGGATTTGGTAAAATTTAATTAGCATGCTGAAAGATAATGACAGATATTTGCTAAAAATATGAAGTCTAATTTTCCTAATATCTGTATTCTAAATAATATTTCTGTTCTGAATTAATTTGTTTGAAGCAATAAATAAATAAAAAATATATGTAT